TGTGTGTGTGTGTGTGTGTGTGTGTGTGTGTGTGTGTGTTTGTATGTGTGCGTGTATTTGTGTGCCTCGGTACCTGTGCATGTATGTGTGTCGGAACGTACGAGTACATAATATGTGTGTACGTGTTTGTGCGTGTGTCTTGTATAGTGCGTTTCTCAGGTCGCCGATTCTGATTTTTTTTTTCTTTCTTTTTTTTTTTGGTGAAAAAAGAGGGTTTGGTTAAACAAGTAGAAGTATGTGGAACGAGGTGAGAATGTGGGTGACATAGGTTATATTGACTGTTACGCAGATGACATTCCGCCACTACTCCTGGCACTCCGCTTGGAGATCGTTGTCGTGCGGCCTCTCAAATTTCCGCGTCCATTTTTACCGGCGTTCACTCCCGAGTTTGAATCACACACACAGATCTAATTTTCAGGCGCACGTTTTTGACGTTAGACTGTTATAATATGTGGGTTGTTGGCGGGTGCTCTGGTGTGGTTTGTTTCTTCTTTCTTATGAAACGTCTATCGTCCTTATCTCCCCTTCTTCTTTTTTTATGTTTGTCATGTAACACCTCTAATCTTCTGGCGCTCATATTATGACCGGATGCAGTTGCGAGCGCCGTAAAACCTCTACTGAAGCTAAAAATTAAACTAAAGACTGTTATATTTAGAACCAGTGCACATGAAAACATTTGTTTATCTTTTGTATTTTTCTTTTCTTTCTTTTTTTTCGGGGGAGGAGTGTCACCGGAACAGTTTAATCTTTATTAGAGAACTTGAGGAGAAATGACAAGCCTGTTGATTTTAGGAAATCTTTTGCCAGTTTGGCTACATGGTACACAAACGGTTTTCCTACGTCCCATTAGTTGAATGGGATGCACTGTTCTGATGAAATGAAAATGATCAAACGAGGGTAAATCCATGAAGACATCCCGTGTTCCGTCATCTTTGTTTAACCTCAGTGTTCCTTTTGAATAGCACCCTGCATTGTGTGTGTGTGTGTGTGTGTGTGTGTGTGTGTGTGTGTA